ATGATTCTATTCTCATAACCTGCTGCAGCGCAGCAGATACAAACTAGTATTTAATAAAATTATCAACGTTAAGATTTCACTAGTCCAATTTCTAAAATTCTCTTTAAAGGCATTGGTTTCACAATCTTTACACCACCTATCACTGATTCTTTCCTTTCCGTAATATTGGCAATTTTCTAAAAGCAGAATCAGATTCATTTTCTACTACTCTAATAAATGGCAAATTTATATCTAAAGTATAAGGATTTCTGTTTTGATAAGACATGAGATCTACGTAAATTGTCGATTATGCTTTTATTGGCAATGATTGGTAATTAGCGTGGCCCGTTTGCTCAATTGTACCAAATTCTATCGAATTATTAATCGAGTTAAAGTATGTATAATAATGTGAAATTAAATTCCTCTTTTTTTAAACGAAGAATAACAATTTCCTTTGTACTTTCATGATATAAGAAAAAAATATTTTTAATCAGCAACAGGGCATTATGGTACATTTGGCGATTTGGCTATCCAGATTTTTTTTTTGTTAAAGACGGGAAACAACAATAGAAGTATTTGTTTTGCGTCATTTCTACATGCATTTTTTATTTTAAAAATTAAATGGTAAAAATAAAAGGTACAGACAAATTGGCACGCGCAACTGTCAAAATTTTGGTTATTACAAAGTGAAAAGACGAGATTCCTAGATTACAAGAAAAATACTTGAAATTGTTAAAAAACAAAAGAGAAGTAAATTTTAATTAGCTATTTAAATGTTGAACGCAATTTAACAAATAAGAAATCTCAACGTAAAATAACTTCATCCTATTTATAATTAATTTACCATTTGTCCGTTGTGGATCTAATACACATGAAAAAAATTTGGATTTTCGATGTATTTAATTTTCTTTTCTTCTAGTTGATTATGTAATCATTAACGTAATAAACTTCATTTCGGGTAAATTCCTTAAGTTTGATTTGATAAGTAATTTTTTTTAATTATATAATTCACTTTTTGATTTTGAAAAAAAAATCTTTATTGAACTTTAATCTAATAACCTAAATTAAGTATTTAAGAAATTCTGTATATAATTACCTTTTTGGAAGATTACTTAACAATTAAAAAGGATTTAGGTGATTAATCTATTTTTTTTTTGAAATTAGTTTAGTATAAAGTCAATTTTATGCAATATTCATGATAAATTATGAACTATAAATGTTAAAACATTAGAAATTGCGAAATTTTGAAATCGTAAATTAATCGCTTGTTTCCTAAATAGACGCTCGTATCTGATATGTTTTTATGCTGATCGACATTATATTTATATTGGCACTCGCGCTAATCCAAAGATCACGGATATTAATATTGTTATTGGACGGAGTGTTAAAATATCGATCGAAGACCATATAGTCCCGTCCCGTTCAATAACAGAGCAAAATTTTTCATCATGTACTATACTGTAGATCATCAAAAAAATAATAAATAAATTTGTTTTATAAGCTAATATGTCAAATAAGTCATTGCAAAACACCAGTTGTTAATTGCAGCAGCATAATGCAATGTAAATCAGAATTTTTGTATTAGTACATGGATTATCATGATCTACAGACACATTTTAAAAACAAATTATTATACCCACCTATCAGCACTATGCGGATCAATGTGGCCAAGACTTTTTATTTACTCGTACTGATTATTGTAAAGAGATTCAACAAATTACAATAATACTTAAATGATACTTACTTGGTTCAAATATTCTTCAAGTAGGAGATTCTGAAAATGAATATTCTGATTTTAGAAAATGTTTGGATTGTGGTAAAAATCGAATCAATATGAGATGATGTAAAGATTGTGGAATCAATGCTTATAAGCCGAATTTAGAAATTGGACAAGTGAAAATCTTAACATTGATATTTTATTAGATGTACTCAATGATGAGGTAAGTATCATAACGTCAGGAATTCTATTCAAAGACATTTTGGTGATCGAAAATTAACTAGAAAAAGGGCTTGATAGAATTAATTAAGTTATAAGATCATATATAGTATCTCGAATCAAAGAAAAACTTACAAGATAAGTTAAGAATAAGAAGTTCTTCTTATCATTTTGCGATTATGTGAATGGAAGTTGCTGTTTTTTAATTTCATTCTAATTTATATCTTTTCACATTTGACAATTTTTGATCTTGGAATGCTAGACGTATTGATTAATAATTTGTAATGCAAGCGTGCAATAGAGGTTGGAACCGGTTAATTTTTAATTAATTAAAGCAGTTAACATGTTAACCGGTTAAAGATTTCTTTTTAACCGGTTAAAATTGATGAATTTAACTCCGGCCGAAATTCAATTTTCGGCCAGAATTAAGATTTTTATGATTGCAAATATTGTCTAACTCTTGCCATATTTATAGTACTGGCCTAAGTTAATTTTAACCGTTATTAACCGGTTAAAGAATTTTTGTCTAGCGTGAACAAATTGTTCTGAAATTTTGAAACAAAAAGAAAATTGGTGATAATATATTGATTTATTCCATTTTGGAACAATCGGTTACACCAATAAAATATTTCACACCCGGTTTCGGATACAAAGGATAATTCGTATCAAAAAAAAAAAAAAAGATAATTCGGATATTAGTTCATATTTCTTTGTCACATTTCTTTGTCACGGTCATGACGGGTCATGACCGTTCGGTCAAAAATAATAATTTACGTATTTAAAATATGATATAATTTCATAAGCAATGATTTGCTAAACAAAAAAATATTATATTTATTTAATATGTAAACTTACAGATAAATTTAATAATAATTAATTTTAGATAATAAATAGTTTTACCAAATTTTGAAACTTTAGCTTTATATTGAATTGATTTAAAAATAATATTTTTTTGATATACTTTTATATATTAATACTATTTAAAAATATATAGCTTTGAACTTTTTATTATAATTGTTTATACTACTTTATAAAATTTTCATTAAAAAATTACTACTACAGTTTCTTTATAACATTCTGTAAAAAAATTTAAAATTACTTATCATAGAGAATATCTTTGCAGTATTAAGAAAGTATTTTATTTAGTCATCTATTTTAATTCAAATTGTATAAAACTACATGTTTAGATAACTTTTTAAGAAGGCATTTACCTAAATTGGAATTTCAGGTACTATGGAAATTTTTCCAATTCAAATTAGAAATATAATATTGCTAATGACTAGAAGTTACATATAAACAACAAATAGTATTTTTAGTAGATTGCGATACATTGTAACAGTGGTTAAACCATCATAGATCAGTGTTGGCATATGACATCATATGACCTATATGACTTACATGATTTGTCATTGTCATTTATAAACATTTATATAATTTCCGATTTTATTTGTTTTTTAAATAGAAATAATAATAAATAATAAATAGAATTAAAAAATAAATAAAAAAAAATGATAAAAAAAAAAGCCCAAGAAGAGGGTTTCAATATTTTGACGCCTCCGACGTTCGGAACGTTGAATTTATTGCAATTTGCAATATTTTGACGCCTCCGACGTCCGGAACGTTAAATTATTGCAAAATTGCAATATTTTGACGTCTCTGACGTTCGGAACGTTAAATTTATTGCAAAATTGCAATATTTTGACACCTCCGACGTTCAGAACGTTAAATTTATTGCAAAATTGCAATATTTTGACACCTCCGACGTTCAGAACGTTAAATTATTGCAAAATTACAATATTTTGACAGTCCTGAAGTCGGAGGCGTCAAATATTGCAAAATTGTAACAAATTTAAGGTCATGTCATATGATTAACGGTCATGTAAATCATATGATGATATTCTTATAATTAATATTTTATTAAATCATAATCAATTTATTACTTATTTATCATATAAGAAAAAACTTATTATATCTTTCATAAATTCTTAGAAAGAAAAATAATACATATAATAGAAAAATATAGTCGAAGGTAAAAATTACTCGGAAGCCAAACGTATGGTCGGATTTTCAACATTTCTGCAAAATATCGATCACGTAATTCGATTAACGTCATTTTTACTAATACGACGAGATATGTATTAGTAAATGCCTATTTTATTTTGCTCCAATGAATGATTTTGCCAAATTAATACTATCTTTGATCAATTAACTAATTCAGGAAAATACAGATGTCTACTCGTGTAGAAAGATTTAGAATGGATTTCTGGTTTATAAAATTCATTTTTGTCCAAATTTGAAAATTTTTTTTCTTCAGCGAGGTCAAATTGTTCAGATAATTCGGATGGATGCGGATCGTCAAATATAGCATTAATCCAACTTCCTAATAATTCGTTTAACTCATATGAAGTTGGACGGATTGAAGGGTTAGGATCCCAACACTGTGTCATTAATTGAGTATAAGCATTTGGAGTCCCATCGATGATTTCTGGGCGAAGACCGGAGCAAATATCGCTAGCTAATTTAAGATTGTGTGGTCTATTGCACCATGGACGAATACCCGCAGAAAGCGTCCACATGATAATCCCGAAGCTAAATATGTCCGAGGCCTTTGTTAATGGCTTCCCTTGCAAGACTTCAGGAGCCATATAAGGAAGAACTCCAGATATTTTATTTGAACTTGTTTTATCA